GTTTAAAGCAGTTTTGACAAGCTTTGATACAGTTCTGTGTACAGAATACTACAGATTGATTCTCGTAAGATCTGGTAGAGTTATCGTTGCACTGAACACGAGTTTGCACCGTTGACAACGGCGTTGTGCTAGACAGTAAACAAGGTCTGTGACAGTACTTGTTGGCTACATGTACCTCCTTGCTTTTTTCTTCCATTGCAAGCGATTGGCGATTGAATACGTTGGCGATAACACATTGGCTATCTCCTCGTCTTTTTTATTTAAATAAGAAGCTCTGACTCATCTGATTTCTTTCGTCTCGCAATATTTTCTTCGTAAACGCCTGTACAAACACCCGCTTCTGTTTAATAGTTGTTTACGCTTTATTGATCTGATGCAGATCTGATGCAATTTTTCGCTCTTTGTACTGAGTTCTGTGATGTAGCACCTTATACAGTCAATGACAATGTATAATGAATACACGGTCTAAATAATATCGATGGGCACTTAATTGTATGCCGGTAATAATTGAATGCCGGTAATCATAACATCAATTTATATATTATATTATTGCGTAAAATCTCAACGATTTTCTCAATATTCTGATGTCTGAAATGTTTATATACTTGAAAACAACACTGTCTCGCTTCTTCGTACGTACTGTACCTCCGTATAATGAGTATATCGTGAAAATAATATCAGCACTCAATTGATGCCTAGAATCTCAAAGATTTTCGACTCAATATTTAATACGTCTGAAATGTTTATACACTTGAGTGTTGACTGCACTACTTCCTAGCTCTGTATAATGAATATACTGTCTAAATATTATCGACACTTAATTGAACGCCCGTAATGCATAAGATCAATTTATATATTGCGTAGATTTTCAAAAATTTACTCAATATCCACGTCTGAAATGTTTATACATCTGAAAACAACACTGTCACTCCTTCCATAGTGCTCCTTCCTAGCATATCGTCACGCCATCGTGATCTACGCATAGATGGATCTACGGCTTGATAGCGCATGCGCATTTGCGCAACTAAAGAAAAATCGGGTGTTCCGGGGTAAAGATCCTTTACACAACATGAGGAGCGAATGTTCTAAAATTTACAAAATATTACAATAACAAAAGCGATTCCTCGAAATTTTTGTGAACTTGGCAAAAGGATAACAGAATATGTAAATAAGTTAACTGAAATTGCTTAAATAACCTTCAAAGTACTGACAAAGCACAATAAATCACTACGAACATATATCGTATACACCCCCCGGAAAGTTTACTGTATGACTGAATGAATGACTGATAAGTTTGAATTTCCCCCCAGTCATCACAATATTGTGAAGTTTCGAAGAAACTTCACACTAAAAACGATACAGAGCTGTCAAAGTACATCCGGGAGCTAAAGAATAATAATAAAGATTACACCCTAAAATGGTCAATTCTGAAGCGGGCAGGCGCATACTCATCTGGTGCAAAGCGTTGCAATCTCTGCATAGAAGAAAAACTCTGCATAATGGATGCAAACAAACATTTAACACTGAACAAAAGACCCGAGATATTCGCAAAATGCCGACATCGCGAGAAATTTTGGGCGGGAAATTTTGAACGCGCGTGCGAATAATGACGGTGCACGTCAGCAAACTACAGATCACACCATTATAACGAACTCTGAATTTAATCGCATGAAGATTGCCACAAATAATGGCATGAAACTTAAAGTAGCGAAATAGTAGAAATTGAAACATTTTAAGATAACAAATTAATTCGCTCTGCTAAATAATTTGTAGTATTGAGCACTCTAGCTTTTATCTATAACGAAAAACAAAACTGTTTATATATATATATATATATAAAGAATTTTAGACCAGCTTCAACTCCAAAACTATCATGTATTCCACTGGTCGCCCCAACAGCATATATATATATATATATATATATATATATATATATATATATATATATATATATATATATATATATATATATATATATATATATATATATAACAATTCAAGTCTTCTTGATATAATATAAGGCCGGTTTACACGACCAGTGTTTTGGGCACGGCACCCCTAAAAATGGGCACCCGTGCCCAAAATTTTAGGCACGGCACCTCTGCCTTTTGGCGTGTAAACGTGACAATAATCGGCACCGGTGCCGCAAAATTTAAACGTGCCGAGACTTTCTCACGAGATAGTCTCGGCACGTCTAGCAAGGGGTGCCGTGCCCAAATTTCGAAAAAAATAAAAAATATGTTCGACATCGAGCATGCGCAAAACAAATTGTCTTCTTTCCAACATGGCAGCAAGCGGGGGAAAACTACAACTTGCCAAAAGTAAAAATCAATGTTAA